TCTGGATCTATCACAGACCAAGTCTTGTGAACCATGTTTTCTGGGCCTCATATCCATAAAGGACTTTTAGTGTAGATTTTAAAAATATGTACGGTCACGGAGATACACTTACAGGATTAATCTTCAAAGCACACTATAAGTTTTACGATTGTGTTTTGAGTTTTTTGTTTTGTTTTGTTCTTTGGGTACCAAAAACTGAACTCAGGACCTTGTGCTATGCAGGTAGGCGCTCGTGCCGCCAAGCTGTATCTCCAGCCCCTATAATTGTGTTTTGGTTAAAAATGCATGTACAAGTTCTCCCATTCCCGCCCCTGGGAGGGATCTAGGTCTCTAACCTCTGTGGGTCCTCTGGGCATTCCCGAGGGAGCAGCAAGTAAGCCAGCAGCTGCCCTTGCCCTCCAGGAACTTGGTGGGAGAAGACAAACATAAACAAAGCACAGACTAGAGTGGTAACTGCAGTCATGGCACGGAAGGCGAGGGGCACGACAGGAGCACGACAGGAGCCCGAGCTGCTCAACAGTTTGAGTTTTCACACTACGGACATACACACATACTGCTTGCGTACTCGTTCTGAACCTCTACGTCGGGTACAACACTCAGAGTACAACCAAGAAAGGAGAGCGAGGGCCAAGCGAGAGGCTGCCCCAAAGGGAAGGCAGGGACAACAGCTGAAGAGTTTGCAGGGTTGGTCCGGGCTACACAGCTACACGTAACTGAGTGGCAAAAACTGTCTTCATGCCAAGTGGGAAGTACTGCATATTCTGAACACAAAGTCCGCGTCTGAAGGCTCTGTCACGCGCAGTCACCTCGGATCCCACAGCTGACTCACGCACAGGTTCTGAGTAACAAGAATGATCAACGTGTGACTCGCAGCCCGGTATGAAACTTGCATTTGCCAGGAAAGCAACAGATCTTAACAGCAGAGGCCACCTGCCTGAGCTGAATCAAAGTTACCTCATCTAGACTGAGAGACCTCATTCCTCCGTTCTGTCAAACAAATTGCACCTTGCCCAGCCTTCTTAGCCTTCTGTTCACAGACTTCACAGTTCCACGCGGGCAGCCCATGCCAACGAGCCTTCCCTCTAAGGATGGCCAGAGGACATACGAACTGCCCCGCGCAGGCCAGGGAAACAGAGCAGACGGCACAGAAACAAAGCTAGCGTGCCCACACGTATGCTTCTAACGACAGGCTGGCTAGATATGACAGACATATTTAGAGATAGTATTTCCTTACACTGTCATTCTTTTCAACTTCTCTGATTGTACTTTACGATATGTTCAGTTAACTGGGCTTTTACAAAACACAGGCATGGCCAGCTGACTGATCATCCCATAATGCTTCTAATAGGAGCGATTAGCAAGCGTATGTGAGGGTGTCTGTGTGTGTACATGCCCTTTTTGGAGTACACACTGTTGTTAGGATAGGTGCACAGGTCAAGCGCACATATACGAAGAATTATAGGAGATGGAATGATAGCAGAGGAAAGGCTTCCTGCAGAGGCAGGAGTGTCATTTTTGCGCTCTGCTCAGAGAGATCAATAGATGCTTGCATGGTAAAGAGAGTTACCAGAGAAAGACACCCAGGTAAATTTGAAAGCTGGATAAATGACAAATGAGTTTTTGGTAAGGCAGGTATGGCTGAAATATTCCAGGAGTGCTCTGTGTGTTCATTTGCTAAGTCAAGGAATCCTAATGGCAGAGAGAGGAGCAGATATGCATGCAAACATCTTTCCTTCTTTGTCATGAAAACTGTCAATATCAGCATCAACTACCATTTACAGCACAAAAGCAGTGAGGTCAAGAATGAGGCCGATGCGTAGGAAAACCCTAACACACTGGACATGCCTGCTTCTTCAGCTGTGAGCTCCTCCAAGTCAGGCACTACACCTTACTTCTCCTTCTGCAGGGCCCAGGCCATGATTTACGGGTGATAAAGACCTCAAGTTAATTTTTGAATAAATGAGTACAAGCGTGATACGGGACGACAATGGGAAAATCCACGTGTAGTAGAAAATATACGCAAGCTCAAGATGGGTGACAACAGCCACATGCGTTGCCACTTCCACCGCCTCTGAACAAACTTCTTACAGTCAGGCAACCGAAGCACGTCTTCCCTTGGTTAGTACCGCGGCACTGTGTCAAACACGGGCAAGCACGTTAAGTACCACAGCCAGCTGAGGCGCCAAGTGGGTAGTTGGGACATCAACACTTGCACAACTATCCACTTCAAAAACCCATAATGAAGGAAGACAAAGGACTGTAAATTCCCAAAAGAAGAACAAGCAGTCCTAACCGAGATGGCTCAAGAAATTCCAGGTAGAAGTTACACAAGCTATGGCTGTCAGGTGTGCTTTGCATTTCACAGGCTCTGCATGTAGGGTGTGTGTGTGTGTGTGTGTGTGTGTGTGTGCATGCGAGATCATAAATGTAGGCTGTATACATAAACATGTTTTTTAGTGGAGAGCTGCAAGAGCAGTACGTTGACCTCCCATACAATTATGTTGTTCATGTCAGGTGAACTGGAACTGAACCTCCAGGGAGCTCGGTACTTCCTCTGTAGTATTCCAGAATGCACATGTCTAAATATGAAGGGAATATTGACTCCATTTCTGATATAGAATAATTTTTATTTTGTAATGTATCTTCTTTTAAAAGATAGTGTCACCTTATTAAATAAAAAGCACTGGCTGACCACAGAAAACGTTTAAAATCCAGGTAAACAGAAATATAAGAATCAAAATCACTCTTTATTCTTCCAGTCAGACAATGACTTTTACAATTTTTAGCATGTATTACTTCAAGGCTTTTTCTGTACATATAGCCACATATTCCTATTTAACCAAACTGCTCTCAGACTCGTATACTATCAAAGAAAGTTGTTCTTAAGTTACAAAGTATATCCACCCGGGTGACCAAATATATTCCCAGACACAATTGCATGTGCTGATGGCTTGTTTAACCAAATACTCTACTCAGTGCTGAACATTTAAATTATTTTTCACTCTTTGCCCTGACAAACTTCTTGACATCTACATCTGTAGTTAAGGACAGCATCGTTATCCCTAGAGGATATATTCCTAACGGGAAAGTTGCTAGGTCAAATATATACATTGTTAAGGCTTTTGATCCACATTACCACTTTGCCAACTATGAAAGCTGAGTCAACTTACAATCTGATAGAAAAGGCTCCATTTTCTCAATTCTTTTTCAAAATCAGTCACCTCAAGGAATCTGTGAACTCAGAACTTACACAGATTGAACATACAGAGAAATAGCTGGGGTAAGTTTTCTTTTCGAAAGAAAACAGTCCAAAAAGCCAAGATTTTAGGAAATCCATAATTCACTCTTGTTGCAGTTAAATGATTTAGACAAAAAAAACTTAAGCCAAGTTTTCATTCTGTCTTTGTTGTGGAATGTGGCTGCTTACTGTTTTTTTGTTGACTTCATAAAAATTAATCTACATCCTTTTTAAAAAAATAAGTTAGCGTATTATTTTCTTCTTTCTTTCTTTTTTTTTCTTTGTCTATTTGAGACAGGGTCTCACTATGCAGTTCAGGCTGGCCTTGAGCTCACTCTGTAGCCCAGGCTGGTCTCGACCTCCCAATGATCCTCCTGCCTCAGCCTCCCTAGGGCTGGGATTACAGGCGTGCGCCACCATGCCCGGCAAGGTTAGCCTATTACAATGACATCCTATTTTACTTTCCTCAAGAAAGGAAGCCATCTGCCTTGACCATAACCAGAAGAAAGTTATTTGGTCAACCAAAGTCAAAGCCATAGGTGATGGACAGCACCATTACTACAGTCACACGGGCTAGGTGTCAATTAGCAGGGCCAACACGGGTGCCCCTAACAAATACGCCTCCTTGGCGATAAATACGAGAACAAACAAAAGACTTCATGGAGTCCAGAACCACCAAATAAGAAGGAAAGAAAACCAACAAGTTTTAAAATGTGGTCTAAACTGAATCTAAAAGAAAAAGTGTATACTATAATAGAGAAGCTAATGAGGCAGAAACACACCTTCAAATACACAGCCCACTGGAGAACTCCTAAAGGAAGATATCACAGACCTATGAAACACAAGCCAGAAATGCATTCGACTAGAGGAAAGGATAGCTGTGGAATATTAACCTTTTCTAATGCTCACAGAAAACCAAGTCAGCTTAGTCTTCTGTCTGATACGTGTCCTGCTAAACTGACCAACACTATTCATCTTTGTTTTTTCCTGGAGACAGGGTCTTGCTATGCAGTCCAGCCTGACCTTGAACTCGTTATGGAGCCCAGACTGGCCTTGAACTTATAACAATCCTCCTCCCTCAGCCTCCCGAGTGCTGGGATTATAGGCATGCATGACCATGGCTAGCCTGTTCTTTATCTTTTTTGAGACTTAAAAAAAAATCAAATAAAAAGAGAAAATATCTACATACAAAAGCTTAATTAACAAGATTGGAAAAACCTAAACTCTTCCTCTCTGGTGACCTACCTATTAATAATCACAATGCCTATAATTAACCCAGCGAGAGAGGAGGTTTGCCTATAGGGTCTGGTACAAAGATACATTTTCCTGAAGAACTGCTCTCTAATGTAACAGGTTGGGTGATTTTTCCCTCTTTGGTGCTCAGCTATATTCCCAGCCCTCTAATCATGCTCTAAGATTCCTCAGTGCTTCGGTGGGTCATCTAGGTACCTAAGACAATGCAACAGGAATGCTTTGCGCATGTAAAAAGAAAACAAAGTAAGATACCATATCTGAAGTCAGGGGAGTCAGTCAAAGTTTTAAAAAAAACCTTCAGAGACAGAGGAAAGGACCTGTAACTGCGAGAACTGTAAAATGACTAAGGAGAAAACTCCTCCCGCTAAAGATTTTCAAGTATATAAAGTCACATGAAAGAGGAGGTAAAACATCACTGTCAGCCTTGGATGGTGTGGTTTTTCAGTGTTGTTTTTGGTTTTGGGTTTGTTTTTTTTTGCCTAGAAAAAAAAAGAGCACCAAGGCTGACATGATTCCAAAATATTTATGGCTTGTGTTCCTTGTGGGTCTTCTGCTCATTGGACACATCCAGTCTCAGCACTGCACCTCAGAGAATGCTTCCTTCAGAAGAGTCACCAGGGAGAACATGAGACTTCTGAGCAACCTGAGCAATTCGTTTCCTCTACAATGTCTAAGTGACATCAACGATTTTCGATTACCCCAAAATGTCCTCTCAAACTCCCAGCTTGCGGAAAGGGGCATCAAGGAAGTCGCCTATGAAATTTCCATACAGGTCTTCAGTGTCTTCAGCCGGCACACCTCAGACTCCATTTGGAACGAGGAATTCCTGACACAAATCCAAAGTGGACTTTCTGAGCAAACGGAATACCTGAAACAATGCTTGGAAGAAGAGGAGAACGAAAATGAAGAAATGACAACACACGAAACAGAGCACCCCGGAGCTCAGGTCATCCAGCAGAGCAAACTAGCGCTGAGGAGCTATTTCCAAAGAATAGAAAATTACCTGAGGGATAAGAAATACTATTACTGTGCCTGGAAGATTGTGGAAGTGGAAATCAAAAGATGTTTCTCCTACTTCCTGAAATTCATAGAACTACTCAGAGGAAATTAGGTATATTTTTAGAATTAAAATTCCATTTCCTTCCCCAAATCTCCTCTCTTTCTTTCTTCGCCTTCTTTTGTAAGGGTGATTGTGCTATCCTGCAATCAGTCCTACTCAGCTGCATGGTGGCTTCTAAGGGGCTTAGGTGCACTGTCTCTAAAGCTTAGCCTTGGAACTTCAGACAGATTCCCCTCTTAAAGGAGGTAACCAACTACTGCCGGGGTGACCCACGGCTTTTGTTAGAAACTCTCAAAGATAGGTTGAAAGGAATAAGATTTTCCCTCTACCAACTTCTCTTTCTCCCTCCTTCCTTGGGCCGTTGTGTATGGGCTTTGCTCTATCTACCTTTGAAGGTCACCTGACAATGGCTAGAGGATAGGGGCCAGAGAATGTTGCAAAATGGAACATTTCGAGCCTTCCTCCTGGGCAGCTAAGGTTGTTTATTCTATAAAAGTTCAGCACATTCAAAGAGCTTATTATATAAGCTCTGTGGACCCAGAACCTTTCCTTTCCCTACCTCTTGCCCAGAGAAAAGACAGCTGCCATTCTGACCCATCTGCTTGTCAGCTTGTTTGGTTTGAAATAATGCAGTTCGAAGAATGGTATGTCATTATTTCAAGAATGAAGATCCAGCCAGGCATGAAGGCGTGTGCCTGTAATCATAGCTATGCGGGAGACTCAGGCAGAAGCATCCAAAGTTCAATTTAGGGGGACCCCGCTGGGCCGGAGATGTAGCACAGTGCTCCCTGGGTTCAATGCCCAGCCCCCAGCCCCACCCCATGAAGCTGTACTTTGCACGGAAAGTGAAAATTTGCATGGACGGTTGAATTAGATGATAATTAAGCTCCCATTTAACTCTTAGGAGCCTGTGATTCTAATGCAGACCACTTCTGCTTATCATGCCTAGTATATATTGTTTGATTCCTACATCTAAAGGCATGAAAATGCTAGAAAAAGTATCAGTCTCTCCTCTCCTTTCTCTCTCTCTCTCTCTCACTTAAAATAAATGCCTGTAGTATATTATAGAAGATTTCTACATTGGATTTTCCTTTTTGGGTCATTTGAGTATATTAGCCATTCTAATTGTATGTGGTATTGTAATATCTTTTTCTCTTACTTAACATTTATTGATTTGTTTTTACTTTTTTGTGATACTGAGCCTGAATCCAGTGCCTTCACACTGAGCTAAGTCTCCAGCACCCCCCCACACACTTTATTTTGAGACAGCATCTTACTCAGTTGCTATATTGCCCAGGCTGCGAATGAACTGGTCTCCCCCTGCCTTAGTTTCTCAGAGTGCTGCGATTACAGATGTGCACGGCCACAGCCTGCCTACCTTAACTGTCCTGGTATGGCCTTTGATCTGTCTTAATTCATCACTTAGCTGAATGAATTTTTCTCTTCCTCTCTCTTCTCTATCCCATTTCAGCACCATCTACTTCAAGCAAGAATTAACACAGCACCCAGGAATTCACAAATGCACAGAGGAGGACGGCTTTAGCCCCTGAGAGGACCTGTCCTGCTAATACTACTGCTAAACTGTTTAAAGACTGTTCTAAGCACAAGGCTCAAAAGAACTTACCAGAGTCTCATGATAAAAATGAAGCAACTTTTAGTCAAAATGTTAGAAGAAATGTTTAAAAGAATTAGTTGAGGATCATGGCATCTGGGTTATTAGCAGTAGGATCCATCAATAAATGAGATAGCATAATGCATTTAGTAAAAACAACTTGTCTCTAGCCTTGCTCCAGATTTGGGGGTTGTCTGTAGCGTTGCTCCAGATTTACACAAGCCAGTAAGCAGAAAATATACACTTGGTGTTTCCTATGACTTTTTGTGATGATGGCTTTGCCCTGTCTCTCCGATTACTCAGCTGGGGTGATGGTAGTTCCTTTAGTAATTTATGGCTGCAGTCTTGCTAAGTATTTGCTATGCATGAAGGAGGAACGGGCCAACAGGGTCAGGGATGTAGCTCAGTGGTACAGTATTTGCCTGAAATGTGTGAGGCCCTGGATTCTAGTCCCAGCACCAGGGGGTGGGTATCTTTCCAGTCAATGCAAATTGTCTGATTGTTCCAGCAGGGGCAGAAGTCAGGAAAGTACGCTTTTAAAAGGGCAAATCTCATCAGAAGAAAAAGAACCACTCCACTGAAAAATAACTAAGGACACAAATTGACAAGAACATAAAGGAAGAAATGCTACCCCAACATGAAAGATCTTTCATCTCATTTTTTGATTAGAAATGCAAATTGAGATATCCCCCCCTCATCGACACGGCAGAGACGGAAAACAACGACAAGGCAGAGTATGAGTCGGGTATGGGACGCAGGGCATCAGGGCACTATTGGGGAGAAGATCAGCTGGTCCACATTTACTGCAGGGCAAAGAGCAATCTGAGAAATCCTAGTAAGTGTACCACCCGTTTCTGGCTTCAGAAATTTATTCTGGAAACTTTGGATAAGATCACCCACTGCTGCCTCTTTCTCTTTTTAGTTTTCACCTATTTTCTATTTCTTCCGCAATAATTTCTGGAGGGATTTTTTTCAAATTCTAAAATTAAAGAAATTATACACATTGACCTGTTTGTTTCCTTACGGGGTAGACGAGGACAAGTACGGTCCTCTCACTTGGTTCACCATGCCGCTTTGGGTTCATAAGCAAAGCCCACAGCAGGTCGGCTTGAGCAGGTCTTTTTGGTTGCTTTCCGCCGATGCTACATTTCAAAGGAATCCTACCTTGGAGAATCATTTTTACAAGGAAATGTTTATTAAAGTAGTTTCTGGTACGTCCAAGATTTTACTTTTGCTGTTGTTGTTGTTTTGAGTGGTCCTACTGTAACAATATCCAGAAATCACTGAAGAAAGGTCCCCTTGTGTCCACACTGCTGACTTAGCAGTCTTGTTTTGTTTTGTTTTTTGTTAAATGGAAGCTCAAAAATTGTTAAGTCGGTAAAAAAGGAAGAGTCCGGGACAGAACCCAGCGCAGTTTCTACTGCAAAATGTTTGAATGGGTACTGAGGGTGTAGCTCAGCGGTAGAGCACTTCCGCAGCATGCAGGAGGCCTTGGGTTTAAGTCTGAATTGTACATGTTTGCGAGTGTCACCACCTAGGCCTCCTCCTGCCCTGAGCTGCCCAACGGACCGAGATCCGAGATCCGAGATCCGAGATCCGAGATCCGAGGCGGGAGGACAAAAGGAGTGTAACTCATTCTCTTTGGAAGAGAGATCGGGCACCGACAGGAAAACCTAGCACATCAAGAGCAAGGCTATGAAGAGACACAGGTTTCAACAGGTGCAAGGCCCAGCTGCCCCTGACTCTCCGGAAGCCACCTGAGGGCCGTCTTCTCAGGGTGGATGCTTTGCTTTTGCTCTAATGTCTTCATAACGCACACTCGCTAAGAACCAACGGAGTCTGTTAGCGTCGGACCCGTACAGAGAAACAGGGCCACCTGTAATCTTGCAGCGGGCCAACGGGGAACTCGGGGCCTTCCAGGCCACCTGTTCCGAGACCGGGACGCTAACACCGTTTTGGCCCCATCTGCACCGCGGCGTGCTCTGCCCCGCCGAGAGGGCTTGGCATTTAAACCTGGAGCCCTGCCAGAGTCCGAGCTCCTGCAGAGTGCGCCACGCACCCCGTTTCCAGGCAGTTCCGGGGTTACCCGCACCTCCGTCCTTTTCCTGGAGCGCGGCCGCCCTCTGGCCCTGGGGAACCGGCAGCCCCAGCCCGTGGCTTCCTCCCGCCAGGGCCGCGACCCCCTCGCACCGCGCGGGCCGAGCCGCACTGCCTCCGCCGCCGACTCCAAGTTCTCCAGGACCAATCACCGGGCGCCCTCGCCGGAGGCGGAACCCAGCGCCGGCGCTCGGAGCGCGGCGCCCTCCTCGGATTCGCGCCCT